GGAGGGGAGAACGCAATAAACACGACACAAGTAATCCCTGTTGTACCAAAGCAATGGTGGACTGCCGGTCGAGCTATGGTAAACTGGTGGGGATAGGAAAATAAGTTGGGCGATCTGAGCAAACACACTTTTCTGTTCATTTATTTCACGCAGGCCTGCGCAACACGTTTCACCCCTCCAGGCCGACACTTAATTGGACAGTTAATTCTCTTTTTAATAGGCATCGATCGTCTGCAGCTGAATAAGAGATCGCGAAATTATATGACGTCAATAAATCCTGCTAATCTAATGATCTTTGCCTTAGTCAAAAGTCTTTTAAATGCACTCGTATTTATCTTAACCGAGATGAAGGATTATCACTCAGAAGACCAGTCAGCGACTTTTCCACATTCCCTCAGTTATTGATTTAAAAAGAGGTTTCCTCGTTAGTCCCATTAAGACTGTAATCATAAAACGACAAGGGCGAAAGTTTGACCTTAGATTAGGCAAACAAGCAAGCTTTTACTAGCTGTAAGATCTTAGATGATGAGAGGTTATCCCTGGCAGCAGTGATGTTAATTGCATCATCTTTAGGTGACAGTAGTAAGAAAACTATGAGACCGTTCAAAGTCGGTAAGGATCAGGAATGAAGTCAGTGTGTGCGAGATTACATAATGATTCCGGGCTCTGCATCCGTGGCTGCGACCTCGATGGTAACACCAGAAGCGTCAGGGGAGAGCTCGGAGACCAGACGTTCTAACCAGGGCTTCAGACGTTGACTGAGATAACCGCGTTCACTGACAGAATGTCCGGCGGTTATTATGGTCACGCCACGGGACACTACCTCCAACTGTTCATGGTGCGAGGCCTCGCCCGTGAAGAGGAGGTCCGCGACGCGAACCATTGGCTCAGAGGAGAACATGGAGCCCCCAGAGCCTGCACAGACGGCCACGCAGGTGACGAGGCTATCTAGCCAATAAGAAGAAAACGTGCAATGTAAGTTATGTGCAATTAGAAGTACACAGGTATCTTGTTAAGTCAAAAGGTCTGTAGATGGCGAGCTAGTCTAGAAAAAGTAATAGCCTCTGCAAACAAACCCAAACAAAAGAGCGTCAATAGTTTAGACAGTATAACACAAGGTAAAGTGCTGATAATGACACCCAAATGAGAGGTGCACTGTAATCTCAACATAAGCCGTACCGGGCTTGTTGAAAGGCAACTCCTAATCCTTTATATTAATAAACCAGTATAGTATTCCTTCTTGAAACGACCAACCGAAGAAAGGACAAAAACACGCTTCTAGCTATTTGCCAAGAACAGTCCGGAATCGCACCTTCTACGGTCTAATTCTGGACGCTATGAGGAGAGGCGGCATTGGCTATTATGGCTGGGTACGACCCCGATATTTCTAATTTTAAATGAGGAACGCTAGTCAAACAGATGGCACATTGCGACTTGAAAGTCTGAAAGTAGCTACTTTACTACTCGACAATGTAGCGACTGCTGCAAGCAAAAGTTATGACGAAATTTAACTTAGTAGTTTAGCGTATATTTGGTCATGTTATTTTGATCCATAGAGTAGATTTAAGCCTGCAAACGCCTTTTAGTTAGGAAAATTACCCTTTATTTAAGTTTATTAAGGGTAATGGGCGTTAATTTTGGCTATAAAGTAAGACAGAGCCAAACTTTTTATTAATATGCATCATTCTCTGAAAGAACTCCAAAATAAGTTAAAAAAAGTGTAAATCATATCCCTTCCAGTACCGAAAATGTTGTCCCACAATAGTTCAGATACAAGTGAGGCCGAGTTTAAGGAATCGCATTTATTTTCAGAAACGAGGAACAATTTGAGTTTTAAAAATTATTTTTAGTTAACGTGTGAAGTTTTTTCCCCACAAAGCAGTAACAAAAAGGTTTCGGTGGCACTTTGTTTTACCGTATCGCGTAGATGGCACATAAGCAAAAGCGTCCATATGTTATCGCGAAGATGATGAAAAAAGGGTCTTGGTAAATGTAAGTCATGTAGAAATAGATTTTTTGTACACTATACTTTCCCCTTATGTGTTATTTAGAAACGGAACAGACAGAAGGATAATAGTTATGTAAATATGTCGTTATAGATATGGCCACACTTTTTTGCATTCGAAAACTTAAAACAAAGTCTAAAAGAAATCCACTACGGCGGAAAATAAGCCAATATAAAGGGAAAAGTGAATTCTTTCAGTTTCAGCCAAATTGAATTATTTATCTTCAGGTAAATAAAAAAAACTTGTCAAAAATCTCCATTTATATTTTGACATTACCTTGGAGAAAGGTAATATAAACAGAAATTCGTCAAGTGAATATCTCATCGAACTGTTTTTTAAAGAGGTAACCTATTATAGACAGTTATTTTTATTAAGCTTAGGAAAAACAACATCAGACTCCTCTTGCGGGCGTTCGCTTTGCTCGACAATGTGTTTTGATGTTTTGAGGCATTTCTGCATATGGTCCACATGGTTCATAAGAACTAATTTCCAAAAACTCATTTTTTTCGGTAAATGCTTTATATATATATATATCTTATTTCAAAGGCTTTGATGTAAATGTCGGGAATAATCTTTATTAATGGACAGGAGCTTGACAGCATTGAAAACGCTCGAAAATTTATCGGCATTTAGAGGTCCACCTGTAAGTTATTATAATTAAGTAACGGCAATATATGTAAAATATTTTGACTAAGGATAAGTTATTTTTATATAAAGAAAGTGGTTAGATTATGTATTCAAATTAAGAAAAGATTTCAATTTATTGTTCCAATTTATAGCTATTTTGATTACGCCTCCGGAATCTGGGGATTATCAGGAAAATTTTAATTTTCTTAACAAACACTTTGTACTTCTTATACTTCTTTTAAGTACCAAATTAGCTAATGTTGTTCATTAAAATTTTGAAGTTTTCGTAAATGCGTGCACGCCGGTGGTACGCGAGTAATGATCAACCTTAGGCATTTTGTATGCAGCACTCGCCATACCGTAGGTGAGAGTAACAAAGGTTGCACTGAAGAATTCAAAAAGTGGTTTATTAAAACAGACTTTGGCAAAAGTAGTTTATGCAGTGCACCACATATACCCCAAGTCCCAGCATTTTGTCCTACGGAAGCGGTGGTTATAGGGCTTTGGGGGTGGGGAAACAGGGTAGGTAGAGAAGGAAATTTTTAACAGTAACATTTAAGTGAAAAAAATGTAGTCGAATTTGTTTCCCACGACCGCTGGGAGTATGTTGTTCCGCCGCGGACTATAGTAATCTAACTCAAGAACGGTAAGTTGGAACTCAGGTAAGTTTAAGTAGACGACCTCCT